CACCTTGTTACCAAAAAATAGAGTTACTTTCACTGATATTGAAGAAAGCAGGTATGGTTTGCTTTAGTATAGAGCAGCAGTCAGTCAGGTAAATTCAGTTTTGGTAGACCCAATGGGAATTTAACAGATTTACAAATTTATATATTTTGTGACAATTTGTAGAACATTAGGGCTTGATTGTCAGTGTATTATTACATTAAGTTGTGATAGTATGTTCTTTCTGTCTGTAAAAAATATTGCCCTGTGTATTAACACATGTAGTATCCAGTATGTGCAAATGTGCCAGATGCTGTGAACCCGACTAACCATCCTAAATTGGCTCATGCACACTAAGGATTGTTAAGTAAATGTTATTAAAATGTAGAATTACATCTAGTATTGGACATTGTTGAGAGTTTTACAATCATGATCTGGTTGGGTATTGTCAGTATCTCGCTGAAGAAAATATACTGTTTGATATGGTTAGTCTATTCTTGGGATGTAAGGCATGCATATCCAGCATCACACCAGCACTGGAATTGATATACCCACATTACTCATTTGTGTGACAGGCAGAACATCTTTTTGGCTTGATGGCAGCATCCTGTTAGTAGTGAACACTTGTGTTAAAACTGCATAATAGCAGCACCTGTTGCTCTAGTTTCAAGAGATCCCATATCCTCCCAGAGTAATCTGAAGCAGACATTTTCCAGGGCGCAAAGTGACAGCCTTATGCCCATTCATGAATCTCTCATAAAATGGTTCATCCTTCATGTAGCATCTATTTTCTCAAAAGATTATGGCTTTGTGGAGGATTCTGAAAAATCTCCTTAAATAAATGCCCACCACTGGTTCTGTACCACATTTTAACTCATTTGCCCATTCCACTTAAAACAAATGTCTCCATATCCTTGGAAATTATTTACCCCTGTAAGTATTGATACATTTTTAAGAAATCCCTGTAAAGGTAGGCACAATTCTAGCCACCCTCTGTTAATATTGAAACATTCCTAGGGATCCATTGTAAATACTTACATAACCCCAGGGATCCTCTGTAAACATTAACACATTCTTAACGACCTGCTGTAATTTTGCTATTTTTCCAGGGAATCCTTGTAAATATTGACAAACTCCTAGCAATCCCTGTATATATTAGCATATGCCTAAGAATGCCAACCATCTCAGTCCAGGACATCTTTGTAGGAGTTCTCAGGGTAGTGTCTTAGGCCCAACCATCTTCAGATGCTTCACCAATACCCGTCTCTGCATCATAATTGCTGAAGTGGGGATGTTTATTAATGATTTCACAATATTTAACACCATTTGCAACTTCTGAGACACTGAAGTATACATGTCCGTGTCCAAGATCTGAATAACATTCAGGTATGGCTGATAAATGGCAAGTATCATTTGCACCACATGGCTGTCATGCAATGACTAATTCCAGCATGAGAGAATCTAACCACCACCCCTTGACATTCAATGGCATTATCCTCACTGAATGCCCCACATGTTGTGCAGTGGTAGTGTCCCTAACCTCTGAGCTAGAACTTCTGCATTCAAGTTCCACCTGCTCCAGTGGTGTGTATTAACTTCCACAGACTTTCTAACCTCTGACCTGCTCTTGACACTACAATATTTATAAATATTTTCTAACCAACCTGTTCAGAGATGTCTGCGAAGTAACTTATTCTTGACTTTGCATAACCTGTAATTTTCTGGATGAATACAGCGGAACACCATCCATGACAAAGCAGCCCTGCTTAATGGGTGCCTTAAATACCACCTTCACACATTCATTCACTCCACTATTAGCACACAGTCAATCCAACATGTTTTATATGTGAGCTTCACTGAAGGAATTCACAATGGCTTCATAGACAGCATTGTCCAAATGTATGACCTTTACTGCCTAAAAGCACAAGGGTGGCAGATGCATGGAAATACCATTGCTTGCAAATCCCCTTCCAAGTCACACACACATCATCCTGACTTGGAAATATGTCACTGGGTCAAAATCCTGGAACTCCATCCCAGAACTTCAGATAGACAGTACGTGGACTGCATTAGTTCAAGAACACAGCTTACCACCACGTTCCCAGTGGGTGAGTTGACATCTACCACCACCCCCACACTGAATCTGAAAATGGGAAGTTGTGACCCTTATCTATAAATTCTGTAGATCACAAAACTATACTTGTTCCAAATTGTTAAAAATCTTTTATAATTTTAAATAATGTGATTAGACCCCTTCTCAGCCTATTTTAGAAAATCAAAAGGTACAGAGTTATTGATTTTTCCTCTTACATGATACTCTTACATTTTCAGATCTTCTCTGTGACTATTCCCTGTACCCAGTGATTGCATATCCTTTCCTTTTCCCCAATATGGAATATCTTCTGTGCACTCAATGACAGAATTGTACAACAGTCAAATGCTGTGACATTGATAGAGGCTGTTTGTCTTAGAGTCATAGAGTAATCAGCACAGAAACAGACCCTTTGGTCTAACCAGTCCATGTCAGACATAATTCCAAACTAACTAGTCCCACCTGCCTGCTCCTGACCCATATCCATCTAGACCTTTCCTATTCATGTACTTATCTAAATGTTTTTTAAATGTTGTTATTGTACCCGCATCCAGCACTTCCTCTGTGGAAAAAATTTGCCTCATGTCATTTTTAAATCTGTCCTCTCACCTTAAAAATGTGTCCCCTAGTCTTCAAATCCCTCATCCTAGGGCAAAGACAACTACCATTGACTCGATGTATACCTTTCATTGTTTTATAAGCTTTTATCAGGTCGCTTCCCAACCTCCTATGCTTCAATGAAAAAAGTCCCAGCCTAACCAGTGTTTCTTTTTAACTCAAACCTTCCATATCCAGCAACATCCTAGTAAATCTCTTCTGAACCCTCTCCAGCTTGATAATATCCTTCCTATATTCTCTCTATTCTCCACCTAGCAAGGCCGTGAGTAATAAAGAACTTCTGGCAGAACCTGAATCACTAGTTTTAGCGAGAATTTGTGCAGGCTCCTGCTTTGTTTGATGCAAATGTAGGTGTCTGACTTGCCAAGGGGCTGTTTTTCCTCAGAAGGTTTGGGGCCTGACTTTCACCCTGTGACTAAGATGGAAACGTGCCTGTTAGTCCCAGCAGAAGAGAAAGCAATTAATCCTCATTGTCTAATTGTTGTCTTGTTCCAGATATTAGTGGATTTGGAAGTCAGATACCAGCCGGTCGAGGGAGTTGTGGGAACGTGGACTGAAAATGACTTTGTGGTTGATATAAGCGACAGGTCAGTGAACTACGTAATCAGAAATTATTGAATGTGTACAAGTAGAGGAACTAATTTCACAAAGAAATGCTGGAGGCTGGTATAATTACAACATTTAAAAGGCATCTGGATGGGTACATGAATAGGGAGGGTTTAGAGGGATATGGGCCAAATGCTGGCAAATGGGACTAGATTTATATAGGATATCTGGTTGGTATGGACGAGTGGACCAAAGGGCCTGTTTCCGTGCTGTATATTTCTATGACTCTATAATTCAGTCATCTGCCCCATTCAAGGAACATTAATTCTTCAAATTTGCTTTATTGTGGCTTTGACTGATAGCTGTACTTATGGATGGAAGAGGTACTTCAACAGGAATCGCAGGCTTGAACATACTCACTGGCTGAGCTGCTACAGTCTCTGGTGCAGAAAATTTGAAAAAATGCTATGGGATGAGGGCATGACTGGCTAGGCCAGCTTTTATTACCCATCCCTAATTTTAACTCAGTTAGGAATCAACCACATTGCTGTGAGTCTAGAGTCACATGAGGGCCAGGCCAGTTAAGAATAGCAGATTTCCTTCCCTGAAGGACATTAGTGAGCCAGCTGTGAAATAAATTCCACAGAGGCCAGTATCCCATTACCAAGTCACCCTTTATTTACACGTGGAGAGTCCTTCACACTGATCCAGCTCCCTCAGAGACAGCTCTCAGATTGAACAGGATGTCTGACACTCCCGTTCTTATCTTTTAGCCAGGGCTCCCTGATTGGACCAGATTAACAGCCCCAAACAGGGAACTCATATCCAATGAGGTCCACCTGGCTGACCTCACTACTGTGTGTACAATCTGGGCCTTCACAACAATCAACAGTGGTTATGTAGTGTCTTAGGTTAGCTTTAATTCTAGATTTTTAAAAATTCTATTTCACCATCTGCCATGGAGGGATTTGAACCCATAACTCTAGAGCATTAGGCTGGACGTTCTGGGTTACTAGCCCAGTGACATTGCCAGTATGTTAGCATCTCTGCCAACATCAAGTCAGCTACACAGACCAAGTGCAAAACCCTGACATTTCTGAATGATTAAAACAAGAGTTTCACTTACCCCTTACCACCCCAGGGTGCTGTGCATTGCATAGAAGATGGCCATTTTGCCCATTGTGTTTTACAATGAGTCTCATTGTACCCAGCTCAGTACTAGAGCACTGAGGCATCCATCTCCTCTCTGAGAGTGATTGCTGATGGTCTTCAAGCACTATTCAGAAGTGTTAGTTTACTTGATGCTGGGTAATCATTTGATGCTGAATGACTATTCAATTATTATTTCTTCATTAATGCATTTTTTTGACTGATAGATTATCTTGCTTTCTTTCTTTACAGGGAAGCTCTTATTATTCAGAATGAGGGCTATCGATCGCATGAGTAAGTTGATGTTCTTTCAAGACAAGTAATTGTTTAATGGACAGGAAAGCAGCATTTCCCACACAACCCTTCAAGAGAATTAAAAATAGGTCCAGCAGAAGGTTATTTGTCCCATCAAACCTGCCCCACTGTTCAATAACATCAAGGCTGATTTGACTATGATCTTGACTCGACTTTCTGTGCCCCCACCAACCCCCTCCCCCATAACCTAAGTTCCTAGTCAATCAAACGTTTGTTAACTCAGCCTTGAATATATTCCTTGACCTGTAGTCACTACTCTGTGTGAGACGGAATTCCAAGAACTAATGATCCTCCTCTGGAGGTCTCCTGCATCATGTCTATTAGTCTTTGACGATTCAATTTACTCTGTGTGCTATCAAGAAATAGCAGGAGGCACTGGATACTGCAAAGGGGATGGGGCCTGATGACATTCTGACAAAACACTGAAGACTTCTGCTCCAGAACATACTGTTCCCCTAGCCAAGTTCCTCCAGTATAGTCACAACACTGGCATTTGCTCAACTATGTGGAAAATCGCCCAGGTAAGTGCTGTACACAAAAGACAGGACAAATCCAACATGGTCAGTATCCCAATTAGTCTACACTTGATCATCAATAAAGTGATGGAAAGTGTCATCATCAGTAACAGCAGTGTGTACCATCTACAAAGATGTACTGCAGAAATTCACCATCATCTTTGACCACAAGCTTCCAAACCTACAACCACTACCACCTAGAAGGATAACCATACCAGATACATGGGAACACCACCACCTGCAAGTTTCCCTCCAAGTCACTCACCATCCTGACTTAGAATTATATTGTTGGAATTTCCTCCGTAATAGCATTTTGTCTACCAGACCACAAAGGCTGCAATGATTCAAAACGGCAGTTCATCACCACCTTCTTGAGGGCGATTAGGGATGGGCAATAAATACTGGAACAGCCTGAGATTCACATCCCATGAACAAATTTAACAGAACAAAATCATTTTCATCTCCATCTTAAGGGTGAGAGCCCTTATTTATAAACTGTACCCCGATCCTAGATTCATCAATAATAAGGAACATCTCAACTTCTACCCTGTCACAACATCTCAGATCCGGTGGGCAAGACTTTTATAATTTCTGAAGAAGGGTCTAGGCCCGAAACGTCAGCTTTCCTGCTCCTCTGATGCTGCTTGGCCTGCTGTGTTCATCCAGCTTTACACCTTGTTATCTCAGATTCTCCAGCATCTGCAGTTCTTACTATCTCTGAAGACTTTTATAATGGTATGTTTTCCCTTCCCACCATCTGGAGAGTTAACAGTGAACTCACTGCCAATTTTTGGTGCCTGATAGCTATTTAATGCTCCATTGATATTAATTAACTGGAAATGTGACTTTCTCTTACTCAGGAGGAAGTATCTCCTCTTGCCCTAGCAGCATCAGAAGCTGTAGAGGACAGGACTGGGACAGTGCCCAGGAGCAGACAAGTGTGAGGGTCTCTAGGTACAGGGGCAATGAGGCCTTCAGTGGGTGAGCAGATTCAGGCTTGTGGGTGTTGCTGGAGAAGTGAGGGGAGGAGGAAGCACCTGCAGGAGCTGGACCTTGTGATGGATGGGACAGTCTGTCCAGTTTTAAAAGAAACCCTCCACCCTTCCTGCCCACAGCCTCAGCTGTGTCATTTTCCAGATCTACACCCCATCCCTCAACTTGACCTGCCTGTCAGAAAATCATAGCTGTCAGGAAACCACCTCAAATGGTCATTAATTGTCTACTTATGGGTCTCGGTAGGGGCAAAGGCAGACTGGGTGTCTGGGCCTCACTCTTGCACTGTTCAACTGTGGAAAGGTCAGGCCTACTGGAAACTGGATGGGAAAAACATTGGAGGAACATTATGGGGCACCCTGCCTACAAATCTGCTAGGGAGGAAGTGTAGAGTTCTGCTTGATATATTCCAGTAAGATTCTCACTCAGTCTTTGAAATTCCAATGAGGATGGACCCCTCCTGCTCACCCTTTCCTCATGAAACAAGTCCTTCAACTCAGGAATCAGCCAAGCGAATCTTTTCTAAATCCCCTCCAGTGCAGTTCTCTCCTTTCTACTGGACGGAGACCAAAACTGTCTGTAGTGTACTGGCTGTGATCTCACCAATGCCCTGTCAAGGTTTTACTCCTTTTGTACTTCACTCCCATTGAAATACAAGACACCTTCCTCATCACTTCTCACTCTCTGGCAGGTATTCAGAACTGGATAAAGAGGATCAGTTGGATAAAAAGACAAGAGCTCTTGGACGGAAGTTAGTGAACACCAATAGCTTTGAAGATGATGACGATGTTGATATTTCAGAAGTTGATATCAGTTCTGTCTCTTTCACTCCACAGAAAAGGTAAATGATGAGACAAAATACGTGCTTTGATGTTGCTACTATAATGTAGTGACTCTTCACGTGTTCCAACGTAAAAGCATTTTTGTATAGAAAGATCTCACACTAAGTCATGAGATGAACGATCAGTCAATTTATTTTGATGTGATTGATTAGGGGAGGAACATTGACTGGGGCTACATGAAATCTAATGCTCTGTGAACAGTCCAATGAAGTTCATAACTGCCTCTAGAACTCAGAATCAATGGACATGATTTCCTACAGTGCTGCAGAGAATGAGATCCTGTGACTTATGGGAGTAATGGACAGTATTACTGGGATCTCTATTTACAGGGCATGAGATGAAAATGTACTTTACTGCTTTTTGAGGTATTGAGGTAGCCATGAAATCTTGGTTCTATTTTTGTGGCTCCAATGGCAGATGGTCGATTTGGAATTGGCGATATATTTGTTTCTGTACTTAATAATCTGGGAGTAAGACAATTTTCATCTGAAACCTTTTTATTCCGTAAGGAACGATGTTCTTAGTTCAGTCTGTTGGTACTTGTTGGGAGGTTTTTATTTGTCTAGTCTGTTACCTACTTGTTGGTTACTCCACACTGGTTTTACTCAACTACTGAAATACTAAATTCGGAATAATTTTGTTCACAGTCGCTGTAGATTTTTCAGCCGAATGGAACTGGAAACACCCAGCATACAGAATTTCCAGGTAATGTGTGAAATACGAGGTTTAAATATGAATTTAGAGTTAGCTGATAGGACATGTAGCCACACTTATCCAGGAGGGCAGGTAGACAATCGGTAAGGTTCCTTAGCCTAGGATTGTATCAACTGCAAACAGTAGCCAATGTTGTATCAGGAGCTGGCTTCCCTTTACGCGCTCTCTCTTTCGTCCATTTCTGACCTGATTTCGATAAAAGTACAACATGCTGGTGGCTTGTGTGTGTAATTGTGGGGAGGAGGAAGCTTTTCATTGGTGGGCCCTGTTGTCAGTTGGTGATGCAGCAGATAAGGGCAGGCTAAGAGTTTCCTGGTCAAACAGGACGGTCCTTCATCACAGTCATAACTTCCTGCCCAATTCCATTTGATTCACATAAAACCTATTGAGAGCTTGTTGGTGGCCCACGTGTTTCCAAATTTGCATTTTTCTTGCAAATATTCCACGTGATATTGGTTTTACTTTATTCTTGTGTATAGCATCGTTATTTGTTAAGACTAGGTTAGTCAAGAGTTAAGTGTATTGGCACATTTCACGATCGGCATACATTAATGGTTAGAGGGGAGTCAGGGACATTTCCTTAATAGTGGAAGAAACAAAACTTCTTTCATGCACCCTTTATCGAATGTTTGCATTAATGTCCATTGTTATACTTACCACTGTGTGATACTGCAGTCTCAGCTGGCCCTCCTTTATATAACACCCACTACCTTTAAATGTTTGTGAACTTGGGACCACAAGATTCTCATGCAGTGCAAACTTTATTCTGAGGGTGAGACTATACTCAAAACTGTTGCACGCTAATGAGGTATGCAAATGCATTACAAATATTAACCCTGTAGTACCTGGCGTATTTCCTGATAAGTCATAAATATACCTCTGTACTGCTACTTGTCTTCAGGAAATCAAAATTTTACATGTCTCCTAATTTAGTCACCCTACAAGTGACATTTTTGTTCTTGAGAGTTGGGGCATGCCAACCAGGAAAGAGGTCAGAAGCGGCCAGGTGTGGAGGTGAGCCAAGTGGAAAGCTGACCTTGCTTCACTGGCATATTCCCAAAGATATAAAAGAAATGAAATAAAAGGCCATCCTCCATCTCATGGCTTCTAGCGACCCAACTCCCCATGGTCCTCATACCCTCCATGCCAATCTGTGTCACTGTAACTATGCTATGGCTCTTTATTTCCCCATTCCAACTTAATGCAAACTGATCCCAACCCACCACTCCACACACACCACCTTGTGTCCTTACACCAACTGTGACATCATGGACTGACCTCAAGATGAGATTAGCTAAAACAATAGTGCGTATTGAAGAAATAACTAACTCCAAAAAAAAACCCTCTTATTGATAGAAATTATCAGAAACTCATTATCCTACTTTAAAGTATCTATAACTACTTTGAGCTACCACTCAATCACTCCAAGGAAAGTAGCCCCAGCCCAGTAAGCCTCTTCCTATAGCTCAAACCCTCCAATGCCAGTAGCATTATTGTAAATCTTTACTGAACCCTTTCATGTTTTGTATCATCTTTCCAGTAGCAAGGAGACCAGAATTGAATGCAGTATTCTAAAAGTGGCCTCACCAATGCCCTATACAGCTGCAACAAGACACCCCATCTGCTATACTCAATGCACTGACCAATGAAGGCAAGTGTGCCAAATGCCTTCTTCACTACTCTGCCTACTCCACTTTCAAGGAACTATGAATCTACACCCCCAGGTCCCTTTATTCGGTAACACTCCTCAGGGCCCTACCATTACCTGTACAATTCCTGCCCTAATTTGCCTTACCAAAATGCAACACTTCACATATATCTAAATTAAACTCCTCAGCCCACTAGCCCATCTGATGAAGGTCCCATTATAGTCAGAGGTAACCTTCTTTGCTGTCCACTACACCTCCAATTTTGTTGTCATCTGTGAACTTACTAACCATACCTCCTATATTGACATCCAAACCATTTATATAAATGACAAAAAGCAGCGGACCCAGCACCGATCCCTGTGTCATACCATTGATTACAGGTCTCCAGTCTGAAAAACAACCCTTCACCACCACTCTCTGTCTCCTACCTTTGACCCAATTTTGTAATCAACTGGCTAGCTCCCCCTGGATTCCATGTGATCCAATCTTGTTAACCAGTCTACCATGTGGAACCTTGTCGAACACTTTGCTGAAGTCCATATAGATAACATCTACCACTCTGCCTTCATCAATCTTCTTTGTCAGTTCTTCAAAAATCTCAATCAAGTTAGTGAGACATGATTTCCCACACACAAAGCCATATTGACTATCACCAATTAGTCCTTACCTTTCCAAATGCATGTCCCTCAGAATCTCCTACAACAACTTACCCACCACTGATGTCAGACTCACCAGTCTGTTGTTCCCTAGATTTTCTTTACCACCTTTCTTAAATTGTGGCCTCACATTAGCCAACCTCTAGTCTTCTGGCATCTCGCCTGTGGTTATTGATGATACAAATATCTCAGCAAGGGGCCCAGCAATCTCTTTCCCAGCTGATCAGGTCCCAGGGATTTATCCACCTTTATACGTTTTAAGACATCCAGCACCTCCTTGTCTGTAATATGGACACTTTTCAAGATATCATTGTTTATTTCCCCAAGTTTTTCTAGTTTCCATGTCCTTCTCCGCAGGAAATGCTTGCTTAGTATCTCACCCATCTCCTGTGGTTCCACACATAGATGGCCATGTTGATCTTTAAGAGCCCTCTTCTCCCCTAAGTTACTCTTTTGCCCTTAATGTATTTGTAGAATCTCTTTGGATTCTCCTTAACCTTATTTGCCAAAGCTATCTCGTGTACCCTTTTGGCCTTCCTGATTTCCCTTTTATGTATACACCGACTGCCCTTATACTCCTCGAGGGATTCACTGGATCCTGGCTGCCTATACCTGACATATGCCTCCTTCTTCTTCTTGCCCAGTGCCACAATTTCTCTAGTCATCCATTCCCTACACCTACCAGCCTTGCTCTTTGCACTAACAGGATCAAACTGTCTCTGAACTCTCGTTATCTAATTTTTGAAAGCCTTTCACTTTCCATCCATCCCTTTACCTGCGAATGGCCTCCCGCAATCAATTTTTGAAAGTTCCTGCCTAATGCCATCAAAATTGGCCTTACTCCAATTTAGAACTTCAACTTTTAGATCTGTCTATCCTTTTCCATCACTATATTAAAACAAATAGAATTATGATCATTGGCCCCAAGTGCTTGCCCCCTGACACCTCAGTCACTTGACCTGCCTTATTTCCCAAGAGACGGCCACGTTTTGCTCCTTCTCTGGTCTACATATGGTCCACATATTGAATAATCATTCAACGAAGTACTGCTAAGCACTTGGCCCAATCACTGGCACTTATTCCTGCCTCAAAAGATTCAAATATATTCAAGGATGAAATTGAAAGAATTTTGTTTTTCAGGGAATCCAGGAACTTCGCAGGCATGTTGACTTAAGGCTGAGGATTAACCATGATAATATTGAATGTCAAGGGTATGGGCCAAGTACAAGCTTGATGGGCCGAAGGGCTTCTTTTGTGCTCTGAGACTCTATGACATAAAAACAAGAGTAGGCCATTCAGCCCATCGATCCTAGCCTGCCATTCACTATCATGGATGATCATCTCCTTAATCTCCCTTTCCTGCAGTCACTCTGTATCCTTTAAAATTGTTATTGTACAGAAAATAATCGATTCCTGCCTTCAACTTACTGAGTATTTGAGCTTTCACAGCGCCTCGTGGTTATAGAATTCCAGAGGATTCATCACTCTGTGAAAAAATTCCTCCTCATCTCAGTCTTAAAATCCCTGCTAGTTATTCTGAGATAAGGTCTAAGTGCTCCCCCGATATCTCCCTCATTGCTAACACTTACTTACCCACCCTGGTGCTCCTCCACCTGTGAATCCATGGTGAGAGTGATCCAGGTGATCCAGCCTGTCGATAGAGGAGAAGGTCCTCACCAGTTCCTTCCATTCTACCCACGGGGATTGGTGCTCCCAGCAGCCCCTGTGCTTGAATATTCCAGGGCACTTTTGGGTTTTGGGAGCAGATTTACCCACTGTCCTTGTGTATTTTGAGCATTGATCAGTGCTCTGTGACAGAAGGAAAACTGAGTTGCTGTTAATTTGTTTGGGTCAGGCTGTGGTTCAAGTTGCAATGACATTGTGATGAAATTTTAACTAAGTCATTTCCTTTCTATTTTTGTCTGAAAAGTGTACTTTTTACAAAAGGGGATTTTAGTCACAGAGAGCTGTAAGGTCAAATCTTATCCACAATCCAGGATAACAGAGTTGATCTAAGCCAGGATAATGTACAGTGAGGGCTCTACTCGTCATATTACCAACTCCTGTGGTTTAATGCTTGTTGCCAGTGTTGAGTGAGGGGGAAATTAGCATCAGTTTGTCTAGTCTTGCCAGTCAATAATGGGAGGCTGTGAAACAGGCCTGAAATATTTCCTGTGTGAATCTGAAGCAAGAAACAGAATGGCCTCCTGTATTGCGCTGTTCTTCATCAATTGTTTCTTTTGCAGATAACAATCAATATACTTGAAGCACGAAAATTAATTGGAGTCAACATTGACCCAGTGATTTATGTGAAGGTGGGAGATGAAAAGAAGCACACGGCAACTCAGAAATCCACTAACTGCCCATTTTATAATGAGGTAAATTCACCAAATAACTTCATATCAATCTGTGGAATTAACAGACACCACCCTACCACATTACTAAAGGAATACGCATCATTCAGCTAAGTGCTTTAGTGACTGACTTATGTTGTGTTATGGATAGGACTATTGGGTGTAATGGGTCGGTACCTATTGGGGTTTGTCATTATGGGATGTATGGAGTGTGTTACTATGGATGCAATGAACAGTATTATCAAGGTGTGTAATTATGGGGTGTAATGGACAGAATTGGGATACGAAGCTGGTGATTATTGCACTGTAATATAATTGTACGTTTTTGTTGTATCTTGTTTATGTTTTGTGTTTTGAGGCTGCATTATTTTTAAATGTTAATGTCAGTATTATGGACTTGAATTTTACTGGAACACAGTGTGTCATACATGTCAGGACCAAATATCGGTTCTGAGCCCATGCGAATGAACAGTGGGACTATGGAACAAACATTACAAACCGGGGTTCGGGAAATGGGATAAGTGAGCTTATAAAGCAAAAGGATATAGCTGCAACGTAGCACAACTACTTTGATAATGATACCTAGAGAGGGATAGGCATGTACGTTGTATTCAGAACAAAATAACTGAATGAATGGCACAAATACAGGTTCAGGGATATGATCTTATAGTCATTACAGAATTACAGTTACAAGGAGATGAAAGCTGGGACATAAATATTCAGAGATATAGGAATCTGTGAGAGGACAACCAGGGAGGGAAGAGTCATGGGTTTGTTTGTTAGTATGAGATGGAATAAGTGCAATAGCAAGAAATAATCTAGGATTGGATCATGTAAAATCTGTACAGATAAAGGTAAGAAGTAACAAGGGGAATAATCCACTGGTAGGTGTAGTCTACAGGCTCTGCAGCAGTAGCTATGTGGTAGGACAGGGAATAAATCAGAGATAATGAGGGAATTTTAAAAAAACAGTACATTAATCGTGGGTGACTTTAGTCTTTATGCAGATTCAGAAAATTAAATTGGCAAAAGTGGCCATAGGAAGTAATTCATAGAGTGTATTTGGGACATTTTCCTAGAACAATATGTTGTAGATCTAACCAGCAATTGGGCTATTTTTGATCTCGTAATGTGTAATGAATTAGGTTTAATACATAAGCTCCCCTAGGGAACAGTGGCCATAATATATTTATCATTCATTTAAAAGTGAGAAACTTGGGTCAGAAATATCTGTTAAATAAATTAAATCACATAGGGATGAAGACAGAGTTGGCTGGAGTGGACTGGGAAAGGAGTTTAACAGAATAGACAGTTGAGAAACAATGACAAACCTTTAACAAAAAAGTTCATGACTTAAAGCAAGGATATATTCCAGTGGGGGAGGAGGGTTCTAGTAAGGGGATAAGCTAGCCATACTTAACCAAGGAACTTTAGGATAGTATCACATTGAAACTAAAGCATACAATGTGGCAAAGATTAATGGTAAGTCAGAGGATTGGGAGCATTTTAAAAGCCAACACAAGATGTCCAAAAAAACTAATAAAGACGAAGAAAATAAACTAGGAGGCAAACTAGCAAGTAAGATAAAAATAGACAAAAAGGACTTCTTTAAATATGTAAAAAGGAAGGAAGAATCCAAACTGAACACAAGGCTCTTACAAAACGAGCCTGGGGAATAACAAAATAACAGGGGAGTTATATTCATACCTTCAGTAAAGGAGTAGAAAGTAAATTTGTAGATGACAACAAAATAGGTAGGAAAGTAAGTTGTAATGAAGAAATAAAAAATTAACAAGTGAATATGGATAGGATTAGGTGAATGGGCCAGAGTTTAGTAAATGAAGACAACTTATCACTTACATAGAGAGAAACTTCAGGGTACTTCAGTGTAGAGGGATCTTAATACCTATGTGTCATTGTGCATGAATTGCAGAAAAGTAGTATGCAGGTGCAACAGGAAATAAGGATTACAAATGGAATTTTGGCATTTATTGCTGAATGAATAGAGTATGAAAGTAGGGAAGTATTGCTGTTAAATAATACTTAAAGTATTATTTAAATGCTGATCGATTGGGAAATGTTGATGTACAAAGGGACCTGGGTGGCCTTGTGCAGTAGTTGCTGCAAACATGCAGGTGCAGCATGTTAGGTAGGGAAGTGGTGTGTTAGCCGTCATTACAAGACAGTTTGAGTAAGGAGCAAGAAAGTCTTACTCCAGCTGGACAGGGCCTTGGTGAGACCACACCTGGAGTATTGTGTGCAGTTTTAGTCTCCTTTCCTAAAAAAAGATATAGTCGCCATAGAAAGGGTGCAGTGAAGATTCACCAGACTGATTCCTGGGATGGTAGGACAGTCCTGTGAGGAGTGATTGGGTTGACTAGGCCTCTATTCACTGGAGTTTAGAAGAATGAGAGTATAAAATAAACACAGAAAATTCTGATGGACATGGACAGACTGGATGCAGGAATGAGGTTTCCCCTGATCAGGGGTTCAGAACTGGGTTCACAGTCTCAGGATGTGCAGTAGATCACTTTGGACTGAGGTGAAGGGAAATTCTTTTACTCAGAGTATGGCGCCCCTGAGGAGTTTTCAAACGCAGAAGGCTGTGGAGGATGAGCCATTGAATATATTTGAGAAAGAAACAGACTTCTGGAAGCTAAAATGTTAAAGGGTAAGGGGAAATTGGAAATATGATGTTCAGATAGAAGATCAGCCATAATCATGTTGAATGATGGAGCAGGCTTGATGGGCCAAATGGCCTAATGCTGTTTTTAGTTTCTATGTTTTTAGCGCATTCTGTTTTTACTACAATAAATTACTGTGTCTGTTTTCTTCCTAGTATTTTGTTTTTGAATTCCAAGAGCCACCAGCTGTCTTGTTTGATAAAATTATTGAAATTAAAGTAAGTATGAACTGTTACTAGCAAGAATATTTAATTACTCATATACTAAGTTCAGATTTTGATTTAAGATAAATGCAAAAGGGAAATGAGCTACAGAAATCAACTGTACTCATCAGGCTTTGTTATCCAGTTTATTATCAAATCTGCCGATAAGTGGGTGCAGCTGTTGCCTGGCATGCCGACTTCTACCTGGCTCAAGACGGGTGCCTGCTCTCAGATGCTTCCTCTTATCTCTCCCTTGACGATAATCTCACCACCAAACATCAGGCTGTTATTTCCAGGACTGTCACTGACCTCATCTCCTCTGGAAATCTCCCCTTCACAACTTCCCACTTCTTAGTCCCCCAAACCCACACAATCTGATCTCACCTGCTTCCCAAAATCCACAAACAGGACTGTCTTGTTAGAGCTATCATGCTTCTACCCCCCAGACATATTTCTCCCTATTTTGAACTTTTTGTTTCTCCCCTCATTAAGTATTTTCTCACTTGCACATGTGATTCTTCTGACGCTTTACATTGGTTCCAAATTTCCAGTTTCCTGGTCCTACCTGTCTCCTTTTCACCATCGACGTGTAATCCCTATACATGTCTATCTCCCATCAGGATTGTCTGAAGCTGTGGCCAGCTCTAACATGCATGAGTTCTAGCAATGCCTGTCTGTTTGTGAAGTATATGGATGATTCCTAATTCCTGTCCTACTCAGGGTCCCTCCCACAACTCTGTCTTGGGTACATTGATGATGTCAACAGCACTGCTTCCTGTTCTCATCCAAAACTAGAAAAATTAATAAATCTTGTTTCCAATTTTCATCATTCTCTCACCTTCACCTGGTCCAACTCTGACTTTCCCCTTTCTGCCTTGACTTCTCTGACTGCAGCTCCTCACACCCTGCTTCCTGCAAGGGTTCCACTCTCATCCTCTTAGTTTCTCTGTCTCTGTTGCTTCTGTTCCAATGGTGCCATCTTCCGCTGGGGTGCCTCTGACATGTCCTCATTTTTGCTCGACTGAGGACTCCCACCATTGTGGTTGATAGGGCCCTCAATAATGTCCAACTCGTTTCCTATACTTCTGCCCTCATCCTTGCCCCTCCCTCCCACAACAACAATAGGTTCCCCATGTCCTCATTTTTTACCCCACCAGTCTCTGCCATTGAAGGATCATCCTCAGCCAATTTCATCACCTCCAATGGGATGCCACCACCAAACAGATTTTCCCCTCCCCTCCACTGTCAGCTTTTCAGAGGGACCATCCCCTCTGTGATACCCTGGTCCACTCCTCCATCCCTCCGAACACTTCCTCATTCTCCCATAGCACCTTCAGATGAAATTGTGGAACATATTACACTTGTCCATTCACTCCCTCTCTCCAAGACCCAAACAAGCCTTCCATGTGGACTCTGCTCCTCCCATGGGGTGGCACAGTGGCTCAGTGGTTAGCATTGTTGCCTCACAGCACCAGGGATCTGGTTTCAGTGCCACCCTTGGACAACTGTCTATGTAACATTTGCGCATTCTCCCTGTGTTTGTGTGGGTTTTCACTGGTCCTCCAGTTTTCTCCCACAGTCCAAAGATGTGCAGCTTAGGTGGATTAGCCATGCTAAATTGCCCATAGTGTCCAGACATGTGCCGGCTAGGTAGATTAGCCATGGAAAATGCAGGGTTACAGGGATAGGGTAGGAGTTGGGTCCAGGCCTGCGGAGGGATGGTGCAGACTCTTTCTGTACTGTAGGGATTTGATAAGATTCTATTCTATGTGAAGCATTGTTTTATTTGCACTTCTTTCAATCTACTATACTGCATTCACTGCTCAAAGAGGCAGCCTTCTCTACCTTGGTGAGATCAAATGCAGACTGGGTAATCACTTTACAGAACAACTCTGCTCCATCCCATAAGAATGCCCAACCTTCCAGTTGCTTGCCATTTGAATAAACCATCTTGCTCCCATGCAAATATTTCTATCCTGTGCCTACTCCAATGCTCTGCTGAAGCCCAATGCAAGCTGGAGAAACAGCACCTAATTTTTCGCTTAGGCGCTTTACAGTCTTCAGGATTCGAAATGGAGTTCACAAGCCCAGAACATGAACATTGTCCTCCCTTCCTCACCCCATTGTGTTCTTTCACACCCTCTTTTCCACAGTGCTTTCATCGGTTTGCCCTCAGTCTAGCTGATCTGTTTTCTGCATTTAACACCCATCATTAACACTTATACTTCATCTATATTGTTCCTTTACTATCATTAACAGTCCCTTTGTCTTTTGCTCTGGACACTCCTTGCCATCTGTTCCACTTGCTCCTCTTGCTCCCTTCTCAACAGCATAAACACAATCAATTTTCCATCCCTGTTCGATTCTGTAGAAATCATCCTGAACTCTCAACATGAACTCTGTTTTCTCTCTCCACAGAAACTGCCAGAGCTGCAGAGTTTCTGCAGCATTTTCTGTTTTTATTTCAGATCTCCAGCATCCACTATATTTTATTTTTATATATTATTGTTTTTCAGTTGGGGTGTTTAGAATTCAAACTGTGGGAAGGAACATTTATGCAAGACTATAATTTCACTAGAGTTCTCCCCAGTCATTGAAGTAAAGTTCCACAGCTACTTAGAGACAACAAGGTGCAGGGCTGGATGAACACAGCAGGCCAAGCAGCATCATATTCGATTTTAACCCCACTGCGAAGCCTCTTCTAAGGATGCCTAACCTGAAGAAGTTACCCTCCTCCCTCCGGACAAACCTCAAGGGATCTCTCTCCCACTGCAACTCTCTCGTAAGCCTCTCTGCTCCTATGATGCTGCTTGGCCTGCTGTGTTCATCCAGCCCTGCACCTTGTTGTCTCGGATTCTCCAGCTTCCACAGCTACTTGTTGCCTTCCACTTTGAAAAATAGTCACAGTTTCAAACCTATCATTCATGAGAATCCATGCCCAATTGTTCTGAGTAGGCCTTGTTGTAAAACAGCTGGGATGAGGTATGCTGGCAAAGTGTTCCCCTCCTTGAAGCAACACTGCAATAAATGATTGTCGCATTGTTTTCGATTCCCAAACAAGACAAACCTTCTGACGTAACAGGGTGCAGAGCTGGATGAACACAGCAGGCGAAGCAGCATCATAGGAGCAGGAAGGCTGATGTTTCAGGCCTAGACCCTTCTGACGTTTTGCTTTTGATTGTGTTGTGATTACGATTTAAAAAGTCTTATTATTGATTTGTAGACCAGTGTGGAAGTGTCAGTCCAAGAATGCAGGGCTCTATTAGGTTGAAACTATAAGAACTTGGTTAAATTAAGTATTAGCCCACAGTATTGTGCAGTAAACCCTAGATATGCCTGAGGGAAATTTGAGGGTGCCAAAGAGTTTCACAGTTTGCAGTTACTGTGAAAGAATGAACTTGAATAGAAACATTGGCAACAATTTGTTTTATGCCTAATTTTGTTTGTGCTCTAGGCTGTTCACGCAAAAAAAATTCCATTCACTGGAGTTCAGTTGGGAACATTCAAGATTGATGCAGGGACTGTCTATCAACAGCCTGGTAATTAGATACATTTGTACATCAGTGATATTCTATTAATTTGTGAGATACAATCTTCATTTTGTTATAAATGTCCTTTTTGTGTGGTTCCCTTTCTTACTTGATTCTGAAAACAACTGGACTTCCTGTCACATCATACACTTCCAACAAGGATTCACAGAGCTATCAGGCTTACGTGGCTGGGGAGTAGCATTCTGCACGTGTGCAGAAGGACCCCATGGAATTCACACAGAGGCTCAGCTTGCTTTGTTACTCTGACCTTCTGTTCTTAGTCTAATTCCACTAATATTGCATAGTCTATTCCTCTTATTTCATTGTTGCTTAATTGAATTAGTACTGAATTCCCACTTCACTTTATCATTTACATCACTTCATTCAAATCGATTAAAATTCCATTTTGTTTTAGTGGAAGAAATGATTTTAAGTTATTCTAGTAGCTTGTATGATGCCTCCTCTCCCCCCAGGAGCATACATAAGAACTCGACATAGAACATAAGAACTCGAGATAGGAGGATGCCATTCAGCCACTTGAGCCTGTTTCACCATTGAATATAATCTCACCTTGCCCTCAACTCCACTTTCTTGCCCACTCTTCATAACTTTTCAACCCATTGCTGATTAAAAATCTGTTTCTCTCCTTCTTAAATTTACTCATGCACCATACTTTGGGGTAGTCAATTCTACAGATCCATGACCCTTTGAGTCATTTATCCTCATCTCTGCTTTAAATTTGCTACCACTTATCCTAAAACTAAAACCTCTTATTCTAGATTGCCCCACAGAAGGAAATATCCTCTTTGCATCTACTTTGTCAGTCCCCTTTATATTCTGAAATAACTCAATTAAATCTCCTCTCATTCTTGTAAACACCAGAGAATATAGACCTAATCTGCTCAATCCCTCTTCGTAAGACAAACCTCTCATCTCTGGAATCAATCCAGTGGTGTATCCTCTAAGTTACCTCCAATGCAACAAGTTCCCTCCTCAAGTAAGGGGGCCAAAACTGTACACAATACTCCAGGTGCAGTCTTACTAACGCCTTGCTCAGTTTCAGCAACACTTCCCTACTTTTATACTCTATTCCTTTAACAATAAATGCCAAAACTACAATTGCTTTCCTTTTTACCTGCTGTACCTGCATCCTAATTTTCTTCAATTCATGCACAAGGACACCCAGATCCCTCTGCACTGAAGAACTCTGAAGGTTCTCTCCATTTAGATGGCAAGTTGTCTTTCTATTCCACCAACCAAAATGGATAACCTCACAATCATACAATCCCTACAGTGTGCAAGCAGACCATTCAGCCATCGAGTCCACGCCAACCCTCCAAAGAGCATCCCACCCAGACCCACCCCATCCTGGTAGCCCTGCATTTCCCGTGGCTAACCCAATAAACCCACATATCCCTGAACACTATGGGTAATTTAGCATGGCCAATCACCAAGTTGCACATCTTTGTAATGTGGGAGGAAACAGAGCACCTGGAGGAAACCCAGGGAATGTAGACACAGGGAGAATGTGCAGACTCCAGACAGACAGCTGCCTGAGGGTGGAATCAAACCCGGGTCCCTGGTGCTCTGAGGCAGCAGTGCTAACCACTGAAATTTAGCCCATTCACTGAACTTATCCATATTCATTTGTAAATTTCTTACTTCTTCATTGCAACTTACTTGCCCATCTATTTTTGTGCCATTTGCAAATTTGGCTGCAGTACTTTCTATCCCCGCATCTAGACCATTTATATACATTTCAAATACTTGGGAACCAAGGACCAAACTCTGTAGCACCCCACTAATTACAGCTTGCTAATCAGAAAAAGATCCATTTATCCCAACGCTCTGCTTCCTGAGGACTCTCTCAGTCCTCTGTCCAAGATAACAAATTATCCTTAACTCCATACCTTATTAAATGCCTTCTGAAAGTCCAGATATACTACAAATATGGGATCTCCATTGTTCATTTTGCTAATTATATCTTCAAAGTACTCTAGCAAATTAATCAAACGTGATTTACCCTTAATGAAACCATACTAACTCTGATGGATTGTATTTTGACTTTCCAAATTGTTACTTCCTTAATAATTGATTCTAACAATTTCCTAACTATAGAACCCCTACAGTGTTGAAACAGGTTATTCGGCCCAACAAGTCCACACCGACCCTCCAAAGAGCATCTCACCCACACCCATCCCCCTACCCTTTCCCTGTAACCCATCATTTCCCATGGCTAACACTCTTAATCTACACATCCTGAACACTATGGCCAATTTAGCATGGTCAATCCACCTAGCCTGTGGACTATCTTTGGACTGTGGGAGGAAACCGGTGCACCCAGAGGAAACCCACACAGACACGGGGAGAATGTGCAAACTTCATACAGACAGTCACCCGAGGCTGGAATCGAACCCGGGTCCCTGGCGCTGCTGCCCTGACTCATGTTAAACTCACTGGTTTATAGTTTCCTACTTTCTGCTTCCATTTTTGAATAAGAATTTATTTGTATTTCATAGTTTCTCCACAAACCGTCTTAATCTTTCTGTATCTATTGCTTTTTTTATAAATATAGCGTAACTTCCTTGGTTGCTAATTGCTAACTATCCTGCCGTGTGAGTAAATAGTTTACACTAGTACATTTGTTTCAATCCTTTCCATAAATTGTAAACTTTATTAAGGTTGTCACAGTCTTCCTTTTGTAAAGTACCTGGAATGAGATTTGCTTCTTCACTTGCTGCCTTCTCAGGGGCAAATGATAACTTTAACATTGAAATCATAACAACATCATAGCTTGTTGCCATTTTTTTCGTTAATAAAAGATCATCAGAAAATTATTAAACATTCTCCTTGTTTTATCAGATCACAAGTTCTTCCAGAAATGGGCAGCTCTAACTGACCCTAAAGATACAAAAGGTGGCATAAAAGGATTTGTAAAGTGTACAATTACTGTCATGGGGAAAGGAGATTTACAAGGCTGTCTCTCTGTCACTAATCAGGATGAAGATATTGAAAAGTAAGTGAAAAATAGGATAAATGTAGCTGTTATGGGGAATGCTGCAAGATGCAGGAAGCAGATTGGGAATGTGGAAATCTGTGGGGTTAATTGAATCCATTTTCCAAAGACCTGGCACAGTTAAAATGGATTGATGAAACTTAATGTTGTAAGATTCTACAAACTCAACAGTCCATCAATTGTTGGCTTATCTCAGTTAGTGCAGCACCTTGTGGATAGGAGTATGCGGGGTGGGTAGGGGTGTCAGCTGGCCTCAGTACCTGACTGCTGGAGGGGAAGAAGTGTCTAGAGAGTGACATCTGCTGGTCACTATCTAATCGTATTGGTTAATGGATGTATATTTTGGTGCATTGGGCTCAGGGAAGTTTGTCTGTGTTGTTAAGTATCACATACTTTGTTTAAATTGTTGATATCAATGTATGATACCAACTGGCTGTGACATCAAAGAACAATTATTAGCCATTGAGGATGAGTGCATAATCAACTAAGGGTGGAATCTTTCAAAGAGAAGCCTTGTTTCTACATAGCAAGCCATTTCTGATGTTACTGCCTTAGAGTTGCTATTTCAGATCAATGAGAATGATCTGAATTGCAGTGAGGAAACAAAGCTATTCCTTTCTCTCAAGCGATCTGTTTATTTACCAGCAGAGCCCTCCCTGGGGATGTGGGGAGGGGAAGGGAGTTGTGCAGAGTCCAGGATAACAGCGATTCAGTCTACACTAGGGATATTTCAGTTTACCAAGTGAGTTCCTCAGGCCTTTACTTCCAACCACAATGGAATAGCCTAAGTGATAAGCTCCACAGCACCAGGGACCTGGGTTCGATTCCACCCTCAGGTGACAATTTAAACAAAGTGTGTGATGCTTAACAACACAGACAAACTTCCCTGAGCCCAATGCACCAAAATATACATCCATTAACCAATACGATTAGATAGTGACCAGCAGAACTGTGTGGAGTTTGCACATTCTCTCCGCGTCTGCGTGGGTTTCCTCCGGGTGCTCCCCTCCCACAGTCCATAGATGTGCAGGTTAGGTGGATTGGCCATGCTAAATTGCCCGTAGTGTTCAGGGATGTGTAGATTAGGTGGGTTTATAGGGGGATAGGTTTGGGTGGGATGCCTGGAGGGTCAGTGTGGACTTGTTGGGCCGAAGGGCCTGTTTTCACACTGTAGGAATTCTATCATTCTATCAATGACCTTGTTTTATCAGGCATGAGCAGCTTCAATGTGCGGTTTGAGCAGAATCACTTTATATTGTTTAGTGTTGGTGACAATAATTTGCATTATGAAAGCATTTCTAATGCTCCAACTCTTCACAAATAGAAATAATTTAGAAAATGGAGAAATAGCAAAAGGATTGGCTCAAAATTTGGTCAAAAGATGGATTTTGGGAAGATGAGTGGAGTTTAAGGAGGGTGTACTGGTGAGAGCAGCAAGACACATGTAAACTTTGGCACCAATGTTATGGTGAGGGGTGTCAGAAAAGAAGCAGAAAATTGTCAGAAGGAATGTAATTTTGGAAGTGGTATCATAGATGGGTGAGATGAGGCCATGGAAAAGTTTGAGTATGCAAATGAGATTTAAGACATAACGTGCTTGGGGCAGGTGGCTTGGTTGCTCAGTTTGAATTGGGTAATAGATTAATGAAGCTACTGGAAGGATGGAGTTTAGTGAGCTGTGGAATAATGGGAGATACAGAATGAACTAGTTCTGGATGAACAAGTGAACAGAAAGGGGATGAAGTCAATATCAAAGGAGTGGAATTGTTTCAGGAGTTGAAAATGATAGTTTGAGGCTTTCTCAAGTAGAGGCGTTATCAATGTTTTCTATTGCTGCACTGTTTCTATTGTATGGGAAGTGATGCTATATCAGTAAGGTGAGCGAAGAAATTCACAGCATCCCTTCAGTAAATTCTTACCTGGTGTTTAGTCAAGACTTACCTATGGTCAAAATTTAACTGATGGCTGGTTATGTCTCAACAACATACAATTACAATAATATCATTGAGTATAAAAAAAACAAATAAACTTAAGGCTGAAATCTAGTCAGAAGGCTCAGTTAAGTCCAGGAGACACTGGAGCAGAAGAAGGCTGTTCAACCCATCATGGCTGCTTTGCTGTTCAATGAGATCATGGCTGATCTGATATTCCTCAATGTTACTTTCCTGCCTTTTCCCCATAATCCTTCATTCTTTTGCTCATTAAAAAAAACCGTGCATCTCAGCCTTGAATATGCTTAATGTCCCAGCCTCTATTGCCCTCTGCAGTAAAGAATTCCACAGATTCATTGCCCTCTGAAAGAAGAAATTCTTCCTCATCTCTGTCTTAAATGGTTAACCCCTTATTCTGAGATTATGCCCTTCGGTCCAAGATTCTTCAACAAGAAGAAACAGCCTTTCTCCATGTACCCTTTCAGTTCCTGAAGAATCTTGTATGCTTTAATAAAGTTAGCTCTCATTATTCTCAATTCGAATGAGTACAGGCCCACTCTACTCAACCTTTCCTCATTAGACAGTCCCTCCATACCCGGGGTCAGCTTGATGAAACTTCTCCAGACTGCCTCCAATGCCAGTATATCTTTCAAAGAATAAAGAACAAAGAAAATTACATACAGGAACAGACCCTTCGGCCCTCCAAGCCTGCGCCGATCAGATCCTCTATCTAAACCTGTCGCCTATTTTCCAAGGATCTGTATCCCTCTGCTCCCTGCCCATTCATGTATCTGTCTAGATACATCTTAAATGACGCTATCGTGCCCGCCTCTACCACCTCCGCTGGCAACGCGTTCCAGGCACCCACCACCCTCTGCGTAAAGAACTTTCCACGCACATCTCCCTTAAACTTTTCCCCTCTCACCTTGAAATCGTGACCCCTAGTAATTGAGTCCCCCACTCTGGGAAAAAGTTTCTTGCTATCCACCCTGTCTATACCTCTCATGATTTTGTAGACCTCAATCAGGTCCCCCCTCAACCTCCGTCTTTCTAATGTAAATAATCCTAATCTACTCAACCTCTCTTCATAGCTAGCGCCCTCCATACCAGGCAACATCCTGGTGAACGTCCTCTGCACCCTTTCCAAAGCATCCACATCCTTTTGGTAATGTGGCGACCAGAACTGTACGCAGTATTCCAAATGTCGTCGAACCAAAGTCCTATACAACTGTAACATGACCTGCCAACTCTTGTACTCAGTACCCCATCTGATGAATGAAAGCATGCTGTATGCCTTCTTGACCACTCTATCAACCTGCGTTGCCACCTTCAGGGTACAATGGACCTGAACACCCAGATCTCTCTGTGCATCAATTTTCTGCAGGGCTTTTCCATTTACTGTATAGTTCGCTCTTGGATTGGATCTTCCAAAATGCATCACCTCGCATTTGCCTGGATTGAACTCCATCTGCCATTTCTCTGCCCAACTCTCCAAACTATCTATATTCTGCTGCATTCTCCGACAGTCCCCTTCACTATCTGTTACTCCACTGATCTTAGTGTCATCTGCAAACTTGCAAACTTTCCTTAGGTTTGAGGCCCAAGACTGTTCCCAGTATTGCAGCTGTGATCTGATTAGTATCTCATATATTTTTAGTGAAACCTTTCTACTTTCATATGTCATTCCCTTTGAAATAGAGGTCACCATTCCATTTGCCTTCCCTATTACTCGCTGATCCTGGATACTTTTTTTTGTGATTCATGGACAATGATTCCCAAATCCCTTTATTCTATAGCTTTCTGCAGTGTTTCTCCATTTAACCAACATTCAGCTCTTTTATTCTTCCTGCCAAAGTACATAATCTAACTTTGTCTCACATTATATATACAATTTGACAAATATTTGCCCATTAACTTAACCTGTCTATACCTCTTCAGACACTTTGTGTCAACCTCACAACTTCCTATCTATATTGGGTTGGGATGATTTATACAAAAGTGCAATTGTTATTCAGTGAGTTAATCTTTGAGTTTAGGCTCATTGCGTGACAGTATATTTATTTGTGCTGCAACATGAGAAAGAGCACTTCCTGCACATGAGCAGATGCAGTCTATCTCTGAGTTTATGACAATTTAAACCGTGAAATGCTCAGCTTTTTTCATTGAATTATGCCTCTTTTACAAGCTGTTGACTTTTAACTATCTCCTTCACAGTGATAATGCCATGTCGGAGAGCAAAGCTCCTCTTAAGAGCACCTTTCAATTTAAACAGCCGCAGTCTCAGTGACAGTGCATCTACATCACATTTTTTTAGTGTTTTAAGTAACAAAATGACATCATACAACTTGGGGCTTTGAGATCATGACCCTGAGATTAAAAGCTTCATTAATTAATGACTGAGCTCACTTGGCTGTGTAGGAACTTGCTCCTAAAAGTCTCAGCAGCGCAGGCTTTTAGAGATGTGAAATGAAAAGCGAAAGTACTGGAGAAGCTCAGCAGGTTTGGCAGCAGTCTGTGGAGACAGAAATAGAGTTAATCTTTTGAGTTCAGTTGAAGGTTAGACTTGAAATATTAACTGTTCCTCTCTCTAGAGATACTGCCATACCTGCTGAGTTTCTCCAGCCTTCTCTGTTTTTATTTCAGATATACAGCATTTAAATTATTTGCTTTACCATAAGCAATGTTCACATTCCGTATTTAGTGTGACAATTCTTTTGTCATACCTTCATGTTGAACTTGTTTTTCTCAAGATCTAGAAATCTTGGCTATCTCATTTGCAGGAGTGTACCTTCTTCATTCAAGTTCATTTAACCAGTCTCCAGGTCTAGGTTAATCTCAGAAGATCATAGGAATTAGGAGCAAGAATAGTCCATTCAGCCCTTTGACCCTGCTCTGCCTTTCAATATGATCATGGCTGATTTGATTGTAGCCTTAACTTCACTTTACCGCCTGTCCCTCATAACCCTCGACTCCTTTGCCAATTAAAAATCTAACTCAGCTTTGGATATATTCATAGCCTAGCTCCAGAGAATTCACTGAGAAAAATCCTCAAAGCCGTTAATCTCTTAATCCGCTATTTGTTTCTGCTTTGGTAGCTTCATGCATTAAGGTGGTGCCTCTCCATTTTGTTTCCTCACTAAGAAACATCTGATTGTGTTATAGGAATCTTCTACTTCCAAAACAAATGCCATCTGAGAGACCTTGGGCCAAGTTCTTCATCAAGGTTTATAAGGCGGAGGATCTCCCCAGCATGAACTCAGGAATAATGGGGAGTTTTTCAAAAATTCTGAGAGAACATAAAGTTTTCATTGATCCTTATGTTCAAGTTAGCTTTGCTGGGCAGCAGGTAAACATATTAAAGATATTCTTTTTGGGAAGTGGAAATCTTAGTTTGTTAAAGTGGAACTTTTGCTATCTGGAGTATTGTTTTCCTTAGATATACTGATGCTCATCAAAAATAAGGGTTGAAAAAGATCATTTCGTGCATCAAACTTGCCCAGGGAGCGCCAACTCTTACTATTCTCAGCATCCATGTAAACTCTTGGGAGAGACATAAAAGCAAAAAAAAAGAAATCAGGTGTATGACTCTAGGCAGATGGTGCCAACTGAGATAACACGGTGTGGAGTTGGAGGAACACAGCAGGCCAGGCAGCATCAGAGGAGCAGGAAAGCTGATGCTTCGGGTCTGGACCCTTCTTCAGAAATGGGGGAGGGGAAGGGGACTCTGAAATAAGTAGAGAGAGGGGGGCGGTGATAGAAAGTGGATAGTGGAACAGATAGGTGGAGAGAAGATGGACAGGTCAAGGAGGCGGGGATGAAGCCAGTAAAGGTGAGTGTAGGTAGGGAGTTGGGATGTAGGTTGGTCAGTGGGGAGGGAGAGGCGGGTAGGTGGGAGGGAAGATGGACAGGTCAAGGAGGCGGGGATGAAGCCAGTCAAGGTGAGTGTAGGTAGGAAGTTGGGATGGAGGTTGGTCAGTAGGGAGGGAGGGGCAGATAGGTGGGAGGGAAGACCAACTGAAAATTTTATTTTTAACTTTTTCTGGCCTAAATATGCTGAGTTAAACTGTTCCCTGTCAGCAGACTCAGCATTAATGAACATGGTGCCCACCTAGACTGGTTTATTCAGTGGACAGCATTTCCACCCACTTAGCCAAGTGGCAGTATTGAGCCCATCACTATTTTTCTCATTTTTTTGTTTTGGAACTGTGAGTTGAAGTTATGAATTTAATTTTGAACAACTGCTTGTTTTAAATGTGGATAGAACAAGGACAGATGTTTTCTGTTGGGGAATGGCCTGGAAAGATAATGCGACTTAATTACTGATCTAAGGACACAATAGATGAATCGGCATCAAGTGATTTCATGAAGTCCTAGTATCAATGGTTTAAAAACTGTTTATTGAACTAGCAAATTACAATTCTTTTATTTTAATCTATCCCTTAAATGTCTGGCTGTCTGTATATGAGTGGGTTTATGATCAAAGAACATTGGTCTTTAGATCATAAACATTAATTAGATTACGTTGTTGTTTATTTGCATCATAGTATTAATAATAAATTATTAAATTTTGTTTGAGTTATAAACTTGGTGTCCAAGATCTGTTATTCATGAAGACTGGTTGGGAACAATTGGACAATTTTATTGGTCCTTGAATGTTTTATTTTCACTGTGTTGCAAATTCAGCAACAATGAAAGCTAATGTCTAGAGGAAATTCATAAGAACGGGTGTGTTGTTTTAAACAGCATTTATTCCATTAACAGGGAGAGACATCAGTGGAAAGCAACACTACAAAACCAGAATGGAATGAACAAATCACTTTCATTGAGATGTTTCCACCATTTGCTCGACGTATCAAAGTTCAAGTCATTGATAATGCTAAAATTAGTGATACTGCTGTCGCAACTCACTTCATCAGTTTGGAACAAATATCGGATGCTGGAATTAGTGGTGAGCACAAGGGGACTTTTATTGTTCCCTCTTGCCTCCATTTTTTGAAATTTGTTTGCTTTTCTCATTGCAATCTCTTTTGCTTCTGAATACTGAAGACCCTAGATTATTTTTCATTGTAAACTCTCCCATGTTTCTAGAGGGGATTCTCTGTAATCTCTCTCTAGACCCTGGCCTCTCTGTTTGGTGCAGCTCTCTGTTGTTCTCTATTAAATGAATCATCCTGGGGCCCATTTCAACAACAGCTGCCCAGTGGGGAATGTGCATCAATCAGATGACCATCTATTAACTTCAATGAACAGAATTAGGTGGGTATTAAATAGGCAATCAGGCTCATCCTGACAGATTCCCATCTGATGAGTGAGGTTAAATTGAAGAGTGATCGTTTTTCCTCTAAACTTCCCTTTCTCAGACTTTCTAAGTTTCTCTCCATAATCTCCAAGTGCATCACTGTACACTGTACACAGCAGATTAGTGCACCATCTTCAATCATTGGGGAAATAGTAGCAGAGCTCGGCCTCTGGACCCTTGAATAATTCAGTGATGTCACAGCCAATCAGTCTTGGTCCTCTTTCCTGTCTATCTCTCATGATGCTGGTTCTGAAGAAAAGATATATGGGACTCAATGATCCAGCCTCCACTGCTCTGCAGGGAAGAGAATTCTAAGCATAATTATCCTCTGGGAGAAGAAATTCCTCATCAATTCTATCTTAAATGAGAGACTCCCTATTTTTAAACAGTGTAACTTGCCCACAGGGGAAACATTCTCTCAGCGTACACCTCAGAATCTTATATTTCAACTAGATCCTAACTCGTTTTTCAAAACTCTAATCAGAATAGGTCTACTCTAATCAACCTCTCCTCAAAAGGCAATCCCCTCATCCCAGGAATCAGCTGAGTGAACCTTCTCTGAATTGCCTCGAAGGCAAATGGATCTATCCTCTGTACACTAATATGTGTCCCATATCGTCACTGTCAAGAAGTCCAGTGTCTCCTTAGATTAATTAAAGACTATCTGCAGTGAGTGAAACAACATTGATTGTATGTGGAAGGAAATTTACCACTATTTAAGTTTTCCAGCCTGACAATGATTAGCCCTGGAATTGCTGATAGGGAAGGAGACATTGAGGGACTTGTAGTCAAAGCAGTAAGTGATAGACCTTTTATTGAACTACCAATTAATGGGAATACTGAAGACAAGTACTGGACAAATTGTGATACATTGACTCATTTGAGACTAAAGAGAATTTTTAATTTTGCCATTCTGTCTCGTGATTGCCGACCAGTTAGCTGTTCAGAATTTTAGATCAGTACATGATAGGTTTAAAAAAATGTTGTTCTCAAATTGTTACGTCAAAATTTGGGTGGATAGGTTAAAAGGCGCTTCTGGATGCAATAGCATATTAGCTGCTCAAGGCAAACCCTCTTCATAATATTGTCCATGGGGGTACTAAAGTATACATGGCATCATTAACTGCAAACAGAATATGAAAGTAACTAACACATCCTAGCTGTTACTTTCAAAGTTACGAACTTTAAAATTTCAACTACTGAATGCATTGGTCTTCTCGTGCCATATTAAGAAACAGGATTGTTGCACCAGCAATATCTATTTCAATTGAAGCTCACTTAATGGTAAAGGATTTCTGCAAACTGAGTGCAATATATTTTTAATCATCTCCAACTTATCAGTTCATCATTTCCTGACATTATTCAGGGCTGGCTATGCTGTTTACCTGGATTTTGATAGACTAACAACCCTCAAAAGAAAACAAACAAAAGCATTCTACTTCACCCTAAAAGATCCACAGTACTATAGAATATAATCTGAAAATGAGTGCCCAACCAAAGAACGAGATTTTGAGAGGGCAACAACATTTATTCAAAGATGTTAGGTTTATGTTGGGTCTTAACAGAGGAAAATGAGGAGATTTCAGATCCTGAAGCCTGGGTGACTTGAGGCCCATTGAACCGTTCCCACAGTATGACATGGCTGACTTTCTACTTCAGCTGCATCTTCCTGCATTTTCTCTATATCCCTGATTGCCTTAGTATCCAAAATTCTGTAGATCTATCTTGTACGCCCAGGAGCGTGCAGCAGGCATCAAAGCTATTTTGAAGTGATGACACTGTTGGAATTTGTGGAACATTGCAGTAAGTTGTGTGTGGCAAGATTGCATTCTAGTGTGATGAACATACCTCAGGTCATTTTGCGATGGCTTCTAGAGTATTGTGTGGTGTTGGCTTCATTATTTAAGGAAGTGTTGAAAGCAGTTCAGAGAAGAGATGCAAGACTAGTATGTGGAAGGGGAAGCTTCTCTACATTAGCCATTCAGTCACAGTTGCTTATTGCCCTTGGCTTGGCTTGCCCTGTTGGAAATATGCCGTCTTTGAGAAGGGAGGGGAACAAATTTCGAGGAAGTGGCAAGTGTTTGAGTGAAGCCCCTCCCTGTACAGGGGCACCCTCTCTCTCTATGACTCCAGTCTTCAGTTTGCAAGGAGAGACTGGGAGAAGCTGGGATCATTCTCTTAGGAGTGGAGAAGACTGGGGGCAGGTGGGATTGGATCGAGGTGTTCAGACTCACGAGGGGGATGGTTTTGATTGAGTCAGTGAAGAAGAAAACCTTCCCAGTGTCAGGAGGTTTGGTGGCCAGTGGGGTACATGGGATTTAGGGAAACAGGTTAAAGAACCAGAGGCGGAGACCGGTTGAAGGGAATGGGATAAAGAACCAGAAGGGGAGGTGGGTTGAGGAGAATGGGATAAAGAACCAGAGGGGGAGGTGGGTTGAGAAGAATGGGATAAAGAACTAGAGGGGGAGGTGGGTTGAGGAGAATGGGATAAAGAACCAGAGGGGGAGATGGGTTGAGGAGAATGGGATAAAGAACATTACAACATTTAAAATGCATCTGGACTGGTGTATGAATAGGAAGAGTTTAGAGAGATATGGGCCAAATGCTGGCAAATGGAACTAGATAAGTTCAGAATATCTGGTCAGCATGGACGAATTGGACTGAAGGGTCTGTTTCCGTGCTGTATAACTCACCAGTGTTCTGTACAGTTGTAGTCAAATGCCCTACTTTTGTACTCCATCTTCTTTGCAATAAAGACCAACGTTCTCTTTGCCTTCTCAGTTGCTAGCTGTACCTGCTGTTACTACCCACTTGGGAAAGGGCATTGATTCTCATGCCACACTACACCTGCGGTTGCCACAAATGTTAATGATCTAATCAAAGTGTGCAAAGTCCCTGCTTCACCTGTCAGAAATAAGTTAACAGAAAATACTGACCAATTTCCTGTACTTAACAAGAATTGCTGTTTGATACAAATAAGTAAATTCTAAGTAGACAGAGAAACTGGGAGGAGGAGTAGGCTATTTGGCCCTTCAATCATGACTGATCCTTTATCTCAATGCCATATTCATACTTTCTCTACATACCCCTTGGTGCCTTTAAAATAAAAAAAAATCTTTCTTGAATATATATAGTAACTTGGCCTCCTACAGCCTTCTGTGGTAGAAAATTCCACAGGTTCACTACCCTTTGAGTGAAGAAATCTTTCCTCATCTCAGTCCTATTGGAGCTTGCTCACAGCCAATTAACAGACTATTCAGCTCCTTATGTTAATGAACCCAATCAAATTTTCAAACTATTTCTCAGTGAAGCCAAACTGTCTGATGTGCATTAATGTGTAGCTAGCAGATTCACCACTGGGAAAATTAAAGTTTCTCTTTCTTTGTTTTTTAACCTGTCCTTTTCTGAGATCTACTTGCAATTTTGTTTTTGATTCATTTAGGATATGGGTGTTGCTGGTTAGGACAGTATTTATTGCCCATTCCTTATTGCCCAGAGGGTAGTTAAGAGTCAACCTCATTGCTGTGGGTCTGGAGTCATATGTAGGCCAGACCAGGTAAGAACAGCAGTTTCCTTCTCTAAAGGGTATTAGTGAAGCAGATGGGTTTTTCTGACAAGTGACAATTGTTTCATGATCATCATCAGATCCTTAATTCCAGATTTTTATGAATTGAATTCCACCGTCTGCCATGGTGGGATTTAAACCCATATACCCAGAACAAGCCCTGGCCTCTGGATTAACTGCCTAGCAATAATGCCACTGGGCCATCGACTCCACTAAAGAGCTGCCAGAATTTGTTTATGCCTGCATGACCCCTTCCAATCACTGCTGGCCATCTGACAAAGTCAGCATTTTAAATAATGAGAACAGGTTTTGCTAATGAATTGAACAAATGTAATAATTTTTGGTCTTTCACCAGAAACAAACCTTGCAGTGTCCTGATATTCACAAAGACCCAGCTGTTTCACTAAATCCTGAATAGTTTGAAAGGTATTCTGTGCCGCAACCCCAACTCTGAACTCTGAACCTCCTAACTAAGCATCAAATATAAACAATTATTAAAATAACATTTACAGGGAAACTAGGAGCAGGAGTAGGCTATTTGGCCCTTTGAACCAACCCCGCCATTTAATAGAATCATGGCTGATCCTCTATCTCAATGTCATATTCCCTCTTTCTCCCTTGCTGCCTTTAAGCTCCAAATATTTGACTATCTCCTTCTTGAATATTCTCAGTGCCTTGGCCTCCATAGCCTTCCATGATAGAGAATTCCACAGGTTCACTTCCCTTTGAATGAAGAAATGTTTCCTCATCTCAGTCCTAAATGGTCTATCCAATACCAGGTTAACATCACCAATCAGGGAACTCATATTCTATGACGTCCACCTGGCTGACCTTGTTCCAATCACTACTTGCAGTGCTGAATTTCTTTTCAAGTTCCAAACCTGCAATTTTGTAAAATTCAAACTGTGGAACTCTTTCCTAACTTCACAGAATCTGTGAAAAGCTTTACATTATCTAATGGCCTCTCTAATTTTTTTCCTCTTTACTCCTGTACTTTACAACCTTTTAAAAATTTTGTTCATGGGATGCAGGTGCCATTGGCTATGCCAACACTTACCGCTTGTCCCTAGTTACCCAGAGGGCTGTTAAGAGTCAACCACATTGCAGTGGGTCTGGAGTCTCATGTAGGCCAGACTGGGTAAGGTTGGCAGATTTCCTTCCCTAAAAGACATCAGTGAACCGGATGGATTTTTACAACAATGGCTACATGGTCACCATTGGACAAACTTTTTATTCCTGATTTTTATTGAATTCAAATTTCTCTGTCTACCACGATGGGATTCATACCCATGTCCCCAGAAAGTAGCTTGGGAATTCAGGATTACAATTCCTCTGACATCCACACTACACCTCTGTCTCCCAGATGGTGTTTTCACTTCATTCAAAAGAAGGACATCCGTGTTCCCTCTCTGATACAATCTCATTTGCTCAGTAGTATTGTCACATTCTGTTGTTGATGTTATCGCATTCCATCAATGACAGCATCACATTCTATCATTGACACCATCATGTTCTTTCACTAACACCATTGCATTCCCTCATTGAAATTACAACATTCTCAAACTGACACCATCATATTCCCAAATTGACACCATTGTATAAAAACCAAAAAAACTGCGGATGCTGCAAATCAGGAACAAAAACAGAAGTTGCTGGAAAAGCTCAGCAGGTCTGGCAGCATCTGTGAAGAAAAACTTCCCTGACTGACACAACAGCATTCACTTACTGACACCAGTGCGTTTCCCCCACAGAAAACATTGCATTCCCTCTTGAGAAGCTCAGTATTACAGACTCACTCCTTGCCCAGCTCCCCACAATCTTATCACTGCAAACATCAATGATGCCCCTCAGCTACTTTTGGTTCATAAAGGGGTCCCTGGACTCCTAACTGTGTTTTTCTCTCCAAGATGCTGCCCAACCTGCTGAGTTTCTCCAGCACTTTCTGTTTTTTGTTTTAACCTTGCCTCACTTTGACTTTACCTTACTTGCTGCAAACCTAATTCCTGTTTACCTTTGTTGATATTTTTCAGCTGGATTCCACCCTACCTTTGGCCCAGCGTGGATGTACCTCTATGGCTCGCCTCAGAACTCAGTGCTAATGGATGCTCACAAGGACTTGAATGAGGGCCTGAGAGATGGGATATTTTATAGAGGCCGAATACTTATTGCAGTGACAATGGAGGTTTACAGCTCAATTTCAGCAATTCACAGCACAAAAGACAAAAGTGCAAAGAGTGCTTTGAGCAAATTCAAGCTAAAAACAAAAAGCAAGAAATCAATATCCAAGTCTAAGCTTAAAGAGGAGAGCAGCAGCCAAAATGAAGGTGAAGGTGGTGCAAATCCCCAAGAACAGCCCAGTACAGTGGAGGTAGAGGTTGAAGAAATCCATCCAGTCCCTGAGGTCAGTTTCAGGGCGACTTTGACATACGCTCTGCATTACATACACAGCTCTTATTCGTTGGGCCATTTCTTTTACCAATTACCATTGGTGATGTAGTAGAATTCAAGAATGTTCAGAGATGGGAAATGACTCTTATGCCAATCAAGCTGCCTACTTTTCCATAAAATAACTAATTGTCCTAGCTCTTTGAGATCTATTATGCAGGCTTGAGGTCAGGTGTTACTAAGATACAGCTGTTTTATATAAATTCAACTTCTAGTTCTGAGCTTCCCCACCCGACCCTGTAGTCTCCCTAACTTCCCTCCCATTGAAGTTCCACCTCAGTGCCCCATGATGGTCTAACATTGATGACTTGGAACAGGGATAGAAGGCTCTATAGCCAAATTTGCAGATAACACAAAAATAGGCGGGATGGTAAATTGCAATGAGGAAATAAGAACTTTAAAATGGATTTAGATAGGTTAGGATAGTGGGCCAAAATGTGGCAGATGGAGTTTAACATGGATAAGTGTGAGGTCATGCATTTTGGTCAGAAAAATGGGAAGGCAATCTATTATCTAAATGGGGAGAGACTTCGGGGTGCTCCAGTGCAGAGGGATCTGGGTGTCCTCGTTCATGAGTCACAGAAAACTAACATGCAGGTACAGCAGAAAATAAAGAAAGTGAATGAAATGTTGGCTTTTATACCTAAAGGAATAGAATATAAAGGTAAGGAAGTATTAGTGTAACTATACAAGGCACTGGTGAGACTGCACCTGAAGTATTGTGCACAGTTGTGGTCCCCATATTTGAGTAAAGGTGTAGTGGCATTGGATGCAGTTTAGAGGAGGTTCACTGATTGATCTCAGAGATGAGGGGTTTCTCATATGAAGAGAGTTTGGACAGTTTAGACCTATACTCTCTGGAATTTAGATGAACGAGGAGAGACGATGGCCTAGTGGTATTATCACTGGACTGTTAATCCAGAGACCCAGATAATGTTCTGGGGACCTGGGGTTGAATGGCAGATGGTGGAATTTGAATTCAATAAAAATATCTGCAATTGAGAGTCTAATGATGACCATGAATCCATTGTCGATTGTTGGAAAAACCCATCTGGTTCACTAATGTCCTTCAGGGAAGGAAACTGCCATCTTTACCTGGTCTGGCCACATGTGACTCCAGACCCACAGCAATGTCCTTAACTCTGAACTGCCCTCTGGGCAATTAGGGATGGGCAATAAATGCTGCCTAACCAGTGATGCCCTTGTCCTGTTAATGAATGAATAAAAAAAAGATCAAATTGAGGTATTCAAGAAGATAAAAGTGTAGATAAAATAGATGTGGAGCGAGTGCTTCCTCTTGTGGGGCATTCTAGGATGAGAGGTCATAATCTTGGGATAAGGAGTAGCAAATTTAAAACAGAATTGAGCAGAAACTACTTCTCCCAAAGGGTTGTGAATCTGTGGAATTTGCTATCCCAAGTGCAGTGGATGCTGGGACAGTGAGTAAATTTAAGGAGGAGTTAGACAGATTTTTACTTGATAGTGGGTTGAAGAGTTATGGGGAGAAGACAGGAAAATGGGGGTAAGGAACATATCAGCCATGATCGAATGGCAGAGCAGATGGACTGAATGGCCTAATTCTTCCCCTACACCTTATGAAGATGTCCCTCAGCCCTTTATCCAAGCTAAAGGATGATGGTGGTGTAGCCCTACTGTTACTGGAAGAACATAATCAGCTAAATCCCTGGGGGCATGCTTCAAAGCCAACAACTGGTTGAATTTAAGCTCATTAATTCAAAAAGATCCTGAATTGTCAGTAACAGTGAGCTGAATTGTCATAAAGACCTAATCTGATTCACCATTGTCCTTTAGGAAAGGAAATCTGCTACTCTTACCCATATGTGATTCCAGACCCATTGTAATGTGATTGATTCATACCAACTGATTGGGTCAGTTAGCAATAGATAATAAAGTTGATTCTAGCAGCAACTAGCAGAATGAATAAAAGGAAATTCCCTCTTTGACCCATTCACTACATTGGGTTGACTTTAGCAATATGCAGGTTCTAAGCCTGTGTACACGGGGTTGAGATCCTTATGAGGATCTGAGGGTCACTGGACCCGAAACGTTAACTCCATTTTCTCCTCCACAGATGCTGCCAGACCTGCTGAGCTTTTCCAGCAACTTTGCTTTGGTTCCTGATTTACAGCATCCGCAGTTCTTTTGGTTTTTATTGAGATCCTTATTGTCTACTTTTACATTTCCCTCAGTGAAGGAGAGGGTCTAGGCTCATGAGGCAGGACGCCAATGAAAGGCTGTGCAGCAATGTCCAACTGCCAGCTCCATTACAGAATGGGCCCGCTGCAGCAGAAGGGTAGTTGTGAGGGCATCTGAAAATAGAGGCATGCTCAGAAATCTGATGACAGTTGGAAATGAAAGAAAGGAGAGAGTGAGGTAAAAGGGTCTTTTTCAGGATGGCAGCTGGTGACTAGGGGAGTTCCACAGGGATCAGTGTTGTGACCACAGCTATTCATGTTATATATTAATGATCTGGATGAATGAACTTAGGGCATTGTTGCTAAGTTTGTAGATGTTACAAAGATAGATGGAGGGATAGGTGGTGTTGAGGAAATGGTGAGGCTGCTAGGAGAGTGTGCAGAGAAATGGCAGATGGAATAAACTGGGGGGGACGTGTGAGGTTGTATGTTTTGGTAGGAAAAATAGAGGTGTAGACTATTTTCCAAACAGCAAAAGGCTTTGGAAATCTGATGCACAAAGGGACTTGGAACTCCTAGTTCAGGATTCTCTTAAGGTTAACATGCAGGTTCAGATGGCAGTTCAGAAGGGAAATGCAATGTTAATATTTGTTTCAAGAGGGCTAGAAAAGAGCAGAGATATACTGCTGATGCCATGTAAGGCTGTGGACAGACTGCATTTGGAATATTGAGAGCAGTTTTGAGCCTCAAATCTAAGGAAGGATGTATTGGCATTGAAGGGGGTCCAGAGAAAGTTTACAAGAATGATCCCAGGGATGCAGGTCTTGTCATATGATGAGCAGTTGAGGACTCTGGCTCTTTACCTGATGGGGTTTAGAAGGATGAGGGGATCTGATTGAAACTTACAGAATACTGGGAGGCCTGGATCGAGTGGATGTGGAAAAGATGTTTCCGCAGTAGGAGTGGATGTGGAAAAGATGTTTCCACTAGTAGGAGAGACTAGGATCTGAGGATACAGCCTCAGAGTGAAGGAATGACTCTTTAGATTTGAGATGAGAAGGAATTTCTTTAGTGAGAGGATTGTGAATCTGTGGAACACATTGCCATATCCTCAAGTAACTCCAGTGAATCTGTCAAGCCTGACTTGCCTTTTGTGAAACCATGCTGACACTAGTGAATTGAGCTTTGTTTTTCCAAATGTTCAGTTATCTTCTCCTTTGTGATTGACTCCAGCAATTTCCCCAATACAGAGGTCAAACTAGCTGGTCTATTGTTTCCCAGTTTTTGGCTGGCGGCAGTGGAATAGGTGGCATCTGGGCTGCTGTGCCTGGGCTTGTCTTCTTCATCCTCTTTTTCTTTTTCTATTCCTTTTTTCCCCTTATTCTTTTCTCAGCTTTATTTCGTTTTCACTGAAACTTACCTGATAAAGTGAGCTCTTCGGTAGGAAGGTGGCTTTGATGGGTTTCAGCGCAGCAATGGCATCTTCAGAGGCCTCATGGCTATAGAGTCAGCCAACCTGTAAAACCTGGAGCAAGACTCTTCCTTCTGTGTGGAGTGGGACTCTGGGGGTGGCATGGCATGGGCTGATGTAGCCTGGAGCGAGACTCTGGTCGTGGCATGGCATGGGCTGGTGTAGCCTGGAGCGAGACTCTGGTGGTGGCATGGCATGGGCTGGTGTAGCCTGGAGCGAGACTCTGGTGGTGGCATGGCATGGGCTGGTGTAACCCGGAGCGAGATTCTGATGGCAGTATGGCATGGGCTGGTGTAACTCGGAGCGAGATTCTGATGGCAGTATGGCATGGGCTGGTGCAGCTCACAGCGAGACTCTGGTGGCAGTATGGCATGGGCTGGTGTAACCTGGAGCGAGACTCTGATGGCAGTATGGCATGGGCTGGTGCAGCTCGGAGCGAGACTCTGATGGCAGTATGACATGGGCTGGTGTAACCCCAAGCGAGACTCTGATGGCAGTACGGCATGGGCTGGTGAAGCCTGAAGTAGGACTGTAGCAGCAGAGAATGAAAAGTTGGACTTTTTCAGTTATCTTTCTTTATTTCTTTAAATTTCATTTTAAGTTAAAGAGAATGGCACTGACGCATGGCGACAGTACACATTTTTCACTATATTTTATAGTGAATACACACGACAATAAATGATTTAATTCAATTCAATTTAATGAATAAGGATATCCCATTAACATGTTTCTAATCCACTGGTATCTTTCCAGAATCCAGAGAATTTTGGAAAATCATAATAAGGCATCCACTATCTCTGCTGCCACCTCCTTTAATACTCTAGGGTGCAGGCCGTTAGGCTCCAGGGACTTATCTGCCTTTAATCCCATCACTTTACTTAATACCTTCTCCTTAGTTATTGTAAACACACCAAGTTCTTCTCTAGTGACTGCAGTTTTTGGAAACAGATTTGGGAAGGCCTTGCTGCAGATTGACACAGACTGCTTCAGTAACTGAACAGTTCCAAATGGTACTAAACATTGTGCAATCATCAGCAAAAAACCCCACTTCTGACCTGATGATGGAAGAAAGGTCATTGATGAAGCAGTTGAAGATGGTCGGATCTGGGACACTACCCTAAGGAACTCCTGCAGATAAGTCCTTGGGCTGAGATGACTGACAACAACAACCACAACAATCTTCCTATGTGTCAGGTTTGACTCCAACCAGCAGAGAGCTTTTCCCCTGATACCCATTGACTGCAGTATTTTTTTTTCCAGTGCTCCTTGATGCCATACTTAGTCTAATGTGGCCTTACTTTAGAAAAAGCTCCCTGACACAGAAGCAGGCTAATTCAAATATGTTCAAGTCTTGAACCTATTCCTTTTGTTCACAGCCTCGGGTGTCTATGAATGAACTTATGTCATTTCTAATAAGCCATGTTGCAAGCTTGACTGATTGTCTCAAAGTGATTGCGATGGAGGCTGTTAGCACATCCAGGATTATTCAGCAAATGCTGCCCAATTGTGGAATCATATCTCTTGGGTGAAGTCTTATGTTTCGTAAAGTGCAGGCTTATTGAGTATGGTCTGTATTCTGTGTATTTTGACAAAATATGCTGTTTGATTTGATAAACTAATCATTGTGACATACAGCCAATGTACCAGGGATTGGATCAGCACTGAAATTCCTACAAAATGTTGCTCAATTGTGGGGAAGGCAAAATGACTTATTTGGTAGTAACCTTTTAGCAGAAAATGCCACTTGTGTAGTTAATGAAGAGGAGAAGCATAAAACAGTTTGCTTAGCTTGTTTAAATCTTTGAGATAAGTTGTCTTTCCAGAATAATTTGAATGGGACTTGGCATTTTTCAGAACCAAGATTTGGGTCTTTGGCATAATACAGTGAATAATGACCTGATCACAAGAGCCACTGTCCTGCAGGATAGAGTTGAGGTGCTTGGTTTTTCTGCATCAAGTTTATTAGGTACACAAATGAATGAGCCTTGGACCTTTATCAATCCCAACATGCATAGTGACCAGTGAAAGTGAGTTTGCAGTACACAGTCATGAAGAATCCATTAGCACATTTCTTAATGAGCACATTGAGGAAAGTGAGTGCAATAGATTGCTTCATCTCAAAAGTGAACTTGTGTTCAGGATAAAGACCAAATATACTCTGTTCAAATTTCAATGCCCATTGAAGTAATTCCACAGAGTCCTGTACTCTGTCACCAAGTCACCCTCTATTAGCACATGCACAGTACTTGACACTGGTCTGGCTTCCTCAGAGCCAGCTCTGAGTGAGCAGAACTGCTGATACTCCTGTTTATATCTGTCAGCCAGGGTTCCCTGATTGGACCAGATTAACAACCCCAATCAGGGAACTCTATGAGGTCTACCTGGCTGACCTTGTTACAATCACTACACCCATCACTAATAATGATTAAGTCAGGCAACTGCTGCAGGATATAATTGCAAACCATTCATCTAGCCCTCCATCTGGTAGATTGAAAACAAAAATGGAAAATTAATCTACTTTACTTGATCCTCATGAACTTTACCTGATAACAATAGCACTGGAAGAATAGCATCCTATTGTGTGGTACTACCGCCAAGGTGGCTTGAGTAGATCTAGCAGCCTGAAATTTTAAGAAGGATGTTAGTAATGACAACTTTGAAATTCATTGTTTATTTTTTCTGTTCAGTCTCTTGCAGGTGAGAAGGAGGAATTCCTGCTGTTTGCTTCATTTTTTGAGGCAACCATGATTGACACTTCAGTGGGGTCACACCCTGTCACGTTTGAAGTGTCCATAGGTAAGAACTTGCCTTCATTGATGTTTTGAATGAAATTGCAGCTGTAAATGTAGGAAGAGCTAGTATTTTGGTCAAACCCTTCATTATCTGTGTATAGACACGCTGGGCAACGATATTGTGGATCTCACCATTATTTCATGGTAAAGTAATATCATCGGGACAAAAGAGGATAAAAGGTTTCTCTCCTTTCATAAGTAGGATGAGGTTTGGTAACAGCTTTGTTCTGAAGACAATACTTCCGTGCAAGGACGATGATGACAGGGAGAGAGAGAGAGAGAAAATCACTGTTTTGATTGGAGTACTATTCCAATTTCACAAACCACTTGGAAACTATTTCTCCTGGAACTTAACATTGTTCTTCTTTCTTCCCTGAGCTTTATCCCTTTCAGGATTCAAATTTTTTCAATTTTCTTCAAAATCTACAGTGATCTCAACTTTAAGCACTCCCTGTGGTGAGGGAGATTTACCAGGATGTTAGCCAGGATAAGGGACTTCAGTCATGAGGAGAAATTAGAGAAGTTGGGATTGTTCTCCTTGAAACAGAGAAAATTATAGATGCCATATAGTCATACAGCATAGAAACAGGCCCTTTGGCCTACCAAGTCTTTGCTGACCAACAAACACCAAACTACACTAACCCTTTTCTGATGAAGGGTCTAGGCCCGAAACGTCAGCCTCTCTGCTCCTATGATGCTGCTTGGCCTGCTGTGTTCATCCAGCCCTGCATCTTGTTGTCTCTACCAAACTACACTAATTCCTTTTACCCACACTTGGTCAATAGCCTACTATGCTGGCACATGCAACTTGATTAATTTGGGATATCTGGAATAACTCTTTGACTGCATGACTCTATGCCTTTTAATTGCTCATTCAGATGCTTCTTAAATGCTGCCAGAGCACTGGCCTCCACCACCCTCTCAGGCAACATGTTCCTTTCCTACCACCCGCTGGGTGAAAAATCTTTTTCTCAGATCTCCCCTAAACCGCTGCTCCTCACCTTAATCCTATTCCCTCTAGTCTTAGACTCATCTGCCATGGGGAGGAGCTTCTCACAATCTACCCTGCCTAGGCATCTCATACCTTTGTATACCTCCATCATAAGAAATAGAAGCGGAGTAGACCATATGGCCTGTTAAGCCTGCTCCATCATTCAATAAGATCATGGCTGATCATTTCGTGCACTCAGCTCCACTGACCCACTGCTCACAATAGCCCTTAATTTCCTTACAGTTCAAAAAATCTATCTTTGCTTTAAAAGCATTCAAAGAGTTAGTCTCAACTGCTTCACTGGGCAGGGAATTCCAAGATTCACAACCCTGTGGGTGAAGAAGTTCCTCCTGACCTCAGTCCTAAATCTGCTCCCCCTGATTTTGAGGCTATGCCACCTAGTTCTCATTTCACCTGCCAGTAGAAACAACTTTCCTGATTCTATCTTATCTTATTAATCAGATCCCTCCTAAGTGTTGTCTGCTCCATGGAAAATAAATGCAGCCTATCAGGTCTCTCCACATAATTGAGACTTTTCATCCCAGGCAACATCCTGGTGAATCTCCCCTGCACCCTCTCCAGTGCAATGACTTACATCTGATAGTGTAAGACCAGAACTGCACATTGTATTCCATCTGTGGCCTGACTAATATTTTACAAAATTATAACAAGACTTCCTTGCTCCTATATTCTACACCCTGGCTAATGAAGGCAAGCATCCTGAATGCCTTCTTCACCACCCTGTCCACCTGTGCTGACACCTTCGGGCATCTATGGACTTATACACCAAGGTCCCTTTGTTTTTCAGTACTCCCTAGGGACCTACCATTCACTGTGTCTATCCTTCCCTTATTAGACCTCCCAAAATGCATCACCTCACAATTATCGAGTTTAAATTCCATCTGCCAATGCTCTGCCCAATTTACCAACCGATCAGTATCAGAATATAGCCTGAAACCTTCCACCTCACTATCAACAACATCAATTTTCATGTCATCTACAAACTTACAAATTATATCCTCTACATTCACATCCAAGTTGGAATGTACATAAAAAACAGCGAGGTCCCAGCTCCGATCTCTGTGATACACCACTGGCTTCCAATCACAAAAACAAACATCCACCATCATGCTTTACCTCTTATTGAGAGTCAGTTTTGGATCCAGTTTGCCAACTTGTCTTGGATCCCATGGGTTCTTGTCTTTTGGACCAGCCTTCCATATGAAACCTTTCCAACGAGGGCTCAGTCACTGAAGATGTTCAAAATGGAGATCAATAGACTTCTTAAAAAAACAAAAGAACAGTGGATGCTGGAAATGTGGTGATCTGGGACTAAGCACAGCTGCACTTTTAAAGTGTCAGTACAGGGTCAAATGGCCTGTTTTGAAGCTCTGAAGTGTCTCAGGATAATTATTGTGCAATTGTACATGACAATAATTCCTATACCTAATGCCACATGCCACTTCCTCATTTACATCTTCAGAGGGTCTAGGCCCGAAACGTCAGCCTACCTGCTCCTCTGATGCTGCTTGGCCTGCTGTGTTCATTCAGCTCTACACCTTGTTATCTCAGATTCTCCAGCACCTGCAGTTCCTACTATCTCTGTTTTGTAGAATCTTTTCCGTGAAGTTTACAATGGAACAGCATCAAATAAAATAAACAAGCTTTATAATTTCAAAATGCCTCAAGCAATTTGAGTGTGTGAGTACAGGAGTACCAAGTGGCCATCTCAGCCTTTTCTGGAGACTTCCACTATTATAGATGCAGGCCTTCAGCCAATTTGATTCACTCCACATGACATCACTGAGCACATTGGATACAGGAACCACTTCAAGTCCTGATAATATTCCAGCATAGCACTGAAATCTTGTGCTCTGGAACTAGCTACTTCTCTTGTTCAGCTGTTCCACTACAGTTACAAAGCTTGCACCTACCCGAAAATGTTTTCATTAAAATTAGGAGTTGTCCATTATGGCCAATTACCACCTATCATCTACTGTCATTTATCAGCAAAGTGATGCGGTTCTATCAGATGGCACTTTACTCAACAATAATCTGCTCATCAATCCTCCTTCGTTTCCACCAGGCCCAATCACCTCCAGAACTACTTGTAGCCTTGATCCAAATATGGACAAAAGAGTTAAACTCTGACTTGAGAATGATTGTCTTTGACAACAAAGTAACATTTAATCAAGTGTAGCATCAAAGAGCCCTGAGTCAATTCTGCTGGTTGGAGTCCTATCTGGCATGTAGGAAGATGGTTGTGGGTGTTGGACATCATTCATCTCTGCACGAGTTCCCCGGGGTGGTGTTGTGGGCCTAACAATTTTCAGTTGCTTCGTCAATGACCTTCCCTCCATCATAACGTCAGAAAAGTTCATTGATAATTGCTCAATATTCATTTTCATTACTGACCCATAGTGGCAGCCTTGCATACAATCTACAAGAAACCTTCTTCAACAGCAACTTTTAAACCTGCACACTCAATCACATTGTGATAGGAATTAGAGCGCAATTTCTTTTTTCAAGGGCTTCTTTTGAGTTTTACTGGAGGCCACTTTTTGATCTTTGGGCACAACATTTGGGTTTTCAGGGGCTAATTTTTTAGTCTCACTAACTCTTTCGTTTGGTAATGCTGTCACAAAGTAACAATATCTCTGCTTGTGCTGGAGAATTTGGACTTGCAGAAACAGATTTTAAAACTTCAGCAATATCCCCCAAAAATCATCATCATGCCATTAAACTTAAAACCACAAGCCACAAAACACAAGGAAAGCATCAGTTTTGTAGGGATGACAATATTTAATCTGGCACAATACAATAAGCGTAAGTTAGTAACGAATATTTTTATTGAACAGACTGATATGCACAAAAAGTCATGACCCTAAAGCCTTTCTGCTGACTGGAGGCGTCACAGCCAAACCGTTGTATGTTTCTCTTAAAGCCAATCACTCAATTAATTCATAACACGGGAGATGCTTCGAGATGTGACAACACATTCATATAAATCTTTACTAAATAAAACTTCAACGTTATATTAAACACTTGACTCAGTGTTCATATTCATAGTTCCTGAATCCTGTAGTTTTAATCTAGAGATTCCACATTAATTTACGAGGAATTTGTCACCCAAACTTTCCTGTTTCCAGTTGGCTAAGTATTTCTTTCCTGAAAAATTTAAAATTGTTTTCTCCCCATGGGAACAACTGTTTCCCTTTCAGATCCTCCCAACCTTTGAAAACTCTCTATCCCTACTGTAGCCCGTCATTCCCCTTTGCAGCTGTTCTCCCTAACTTTACATGTTTCTCTCCCATTTTATA